AGAGTGGGTTTGTCCGAGTACTGACATTCACTCTGTTCATGGCCAAGTAGGATTGGCCAGTCCAAGAGGAGGGATGCAGGGAGAAACAAAGAGGGAGACAGAAAGGTTGCCCACATTTTGCTGAAACTATGTGAAATCTCACCCCCTCCTCCCATGTGTAGGGCGTTTAAAACTTAGCTCTACAAAATATTGTCAGACCTGGGGAAAATTGAGGTGGAAAATTTTAACTGCTGTGGTTAAACAGTAGACATAAGAGAGGGGTCACGGTCTCATTGAAATTCCTGAAACTATTCAACAGTTGACAAAACATAGCATCATTTTCATTAAGCACTGGGAAATGTTTTCATGTACCACATTTAAGACTGTCACTGCAAAGTAAAGTTTTGGTAAAACCCAAAAAACTTGGGTCCAAGTCCAACCCAACTTAAATTTTGGGAGCCAAACCCCTGTTAAAACCTATTTTTACTATACTGGTGGTATTAAACTATTGAAAGATAACCCGGCTTTTTGGATTAATTGATGTGTTCTGGTGACTTGGGGGCAGCACCACAAGCTAAAAACACAATACTTACATATTATCATCTTATAAAATTGTTTTGGTGAATATGTTGGCAAACAGGCTACCTGCCGATTGTAAATCCAACATTCACTCTTATTTTAGCTCTGTGTTGGTCTCCAACTCTTGAGGGAAATATCTGGCTATGGGTAGGTAGTGTAGAGTTTGTTGCAATAAAACAGCTGCTTGCTGTGGCTGGAAAAAAAAGCTGATGACAGCGGTGCAACTGAACCAAAATATCAAACTTCGGGGCCATAGAAACCAGAACAATGAACTGAAGGACACTAAACCTCCATAGAGCTGAGAGGAACTGTAGACTGTTGGGTGATAAATGAGTGACCCCAGTCATTTGATCCATTATTAATGAATAAATATTGTGTGTCAAATGTGAGGATGTATGGCTTTTTCTGTTTCACATCACAATGAAAATAAGAATCTTAGTTCGATTGAAAGTCGATGTCTTACTGTACACTCTGTTAGGAGCCATAACACTGTAGTCTTTAGTGTCTCTTTTAAACGCAGCCACAGGTGTGCTGAAAAGCATCCACTTGTCATATTGCGACCATTACTGGCCATGTCCTTGACTTTGTTGTGTTTCCAAATACTGACATTCAGAAACATTTAAGACAAATTATGTTGCAGAATAAAGCTGAGCGTGCTAATTACTAAATCTGAGTCAGTTTCAGTGTTTATTCACAAGATTCTGTTGAGTTCTGTCTGAGTGAAAAGCTCATCGTCAATTCAAAATACAAGCCACTTCTCTCTCTCTCTCTACAACATGTCAACATGGTTAGGCGAGGCGTTAAGATAGAGGCATGAAACACCGACTACCCAACACACACTTTGTGTGACCTCAGTAGGTTAGGTTACTATCACACACCACATTAGACCTTACTTTATTTCCCTGCTATGTCGTTAGACATAGCGTCCATCCCTCACGACAAGCATGTCCATTCATACCCATTAGGATGGCAGTAAATAGCTGGAGCCAACCGTGACTGGGGATAATCCGATTGCCTGATACAATGGACACTCAGGACAGACAGATCCGTTAGCAGCCAATGGGAAAAGGAACATACATAGACAAGCTACACATCACGATTATAGGAAGGCAATTGGTCACGGAAATGAAAAGCCATATCATTAGCTGGTTTAAATGAGAGTCACACACACACAACTCCACGGGAGCATTAAAACACAAACTCTTGTGTAAAAGATGAACACATACGAAGTCAGATCAAATCAATCCAATTTGATAAAGCTGTATTAAATCTCCAACACACACACACACACACACACACACACACACTTTCCCATAAAGCATACTCACGTCACGCACACGCAACCAGCCACCCTGCACATAAGGGCAGATATGAGAACCGGGGAGGTCAGAAGTTCACGAGGGGAAGAATCCATGAGAGAATCCCTGAGTCATCTATCAATGATTTAAAGTGATTACAATGAGACTACACTTTCACACACACACTTGATGTCAGTATTACAGTTTTAATGAGAAACCACCTCCTACATTAAGAGTCATCGAGTAAATTCAGGCACTAATAACAGTCAAAGTCATAAAGATCATATCTGGAATATAAAAAGCATCCATTGGCCATATGTGATCTTTAAACATTATAAAAGATACTGAACCACTGTTGAAATTATCTTTAAACACAATAAGAACATTTCTACACACACACACACAAACACACACACACAGTTTAAAAACAGATACAGATATCCAAAGAACTAGAAGTCCCTCCACAGAGCTTTATACAGCCTTGAGACACACCACCATCATTAAGACAACAGATTTATTCTTCTGTTCATTCCTCCAGAGCAGCCAGCTGGGTTTTTTCCCCACTAAATCCCACTTTTTCTTCTCTGTCTGTATATAATATATGTTTTAAGATTACACAGAGGCAGCATTAGTTGCTTACATTACACAACAGTTTGGTGCAAGGTAGGAAGGAAAAGATAATGGAAAGGAAGACAAGAAATGAAGAGCAAAAGAGAGATAAAAGAGAGAATGAGAATGTATAAGAAAGAAAGAAAGAAAGAAAGAGGAAGATGCTGTCTTCATCAGCATTTGGTGTATATAGCCAAACTACAGAAGGGTGGATTATAAAGTATATATTATTATATTATACAGCTATTAGATATACAACTATTAGAACAGACCTTTTAAAAACACTTAACATCTGCATGTGAAAGCCACCAAGAGCTTTAAGGGTACTCCTTGTTTAAAACTACATACACACTAATGACCGGCAGAGATGTACACATGGAACACAAACACACCCACTTTTCATATATTATATTTAGTCCTGAATGGGACCTAAGTGCCCAACCTTACAGTTGGGTTCAATGACATTTTATTATATGTGAATATTTTTGCATCCCTTAACAAATCCACTAAGGATTTGCATTCATTATTTTAAGGACCTACAGTATAGTTATAAATAACTTAATATAATAATAATAATATTTAACAACAAAAAGATTCAATAGAAATCTGTAATCAGCTTTGCTTGGTTGGTTGTGGGCTAAATACATAACCTGGAGCTGCAACCTGAAAATGAGATGCGTGTTGTGTGCTGGTTCAGTAATCAACAAAAGGAACAGGCCTGAACAAACATGCAGCCAGAAGTGCAGGCAGGTGCTACCATCAGCCTCTTTTCCTCCTTCTCCAGACACACAAGCTTTGTGGTAGTCTGCAAAGGAAGGGTCTCCTAAGGCCAGGGTCACCTCCCTGTAGACCACCACAGCTCTGCTCTGGCTCCCAGATGTTCTCTCTCTCTCTCTCTCTCTCTCTCATACAAACACACATACGCCTATACAGGGACTTCCAGAAAATGCAGTTTGAAGCTAAAAACAAACAAACTTGACCAAATTGACCAACATATAGCATAACCAGCCACAAAGTGTGGATTTGTTTGTATGGATACACAGACAGCTTGACCTGTAAATAGTAACTACTGCATGTGTTTGGATGTTTAGTCTTTATCTCTTTATCTAATTGCCCTGTACAGTTTACAACAGTTATATTGTTTGTTTGTTTGTGGTGTGTGTGTGTGTTGTTTTGGCAACTGTCAGCCTTTGACACAACACGAGTCCCTGTATGTAGAGTTGGGCAAAAAGTGTGTGTGTGTGTGTGTGTGTGTGTGGTGTGTGTGTGTGTGTGTGTGTGCGTGCGTGTGTGTACACATGTGTATGACTCCCAGCACATATGTGAGTCAGTGCCTGTGCACTTGTTGAGTAAATGATCTATTCCTGGATCTGTCAAGGAAAAAGGGGGGGAGTTGAGGCGGACCGTTTGGATGCTGATCAGGATAGACGTGTGTGTATGTGCGTGGTGGTTGCTGGTGGAGGAGGGCAGTGGAATCCACACCAGACCATCTATTATAATGACAGGAAGCAGGAAGTACAACCCCTTCACAGTCACATGGCTGCCAGCTGTCTTGGCAACTAAAAGAAGGAAGATAGAGATGATGATAGGGAGTGTGTGTTTGTGTGTGTGTGTGTGTTATATATACAGTTTATATATCTATTAATTTATTTATATTTATATATACATATATATGTATGTATGTATGTATATGTCTGACAGTCAGTTTGTGTGTAAAGCGTGTAGGTAGAGTAGCATTTGTATGTGCATTCCTACATGTGAAGATGACATTTCTCAGTGGTATATCTGCATTTGCAAAGAGAACAAAGGCTTGAAGTTCAATTTAGTGGAAGAACTACTGTCATCCATCCAGATCTCCATTGTCTTTCTCCTCCAATACAAACATAATCAAATGTATATGCCTTGAATTTACAACAGCCAACGTTAAGCCAAATCCAGTGCAGGACTAACCTCAGTTTTCACCATATGGATGTGTTTAGTAACTGCAGCTCAGTACAGATGTGCACGCCCTCTTGCAGAGACACACATATGCACACATACCCTCACACGCAAAAACACATACATACACACAGATGGACAAAAACACACAGTTTTTTCTTGTTCACCGTTTCTTCCCAGACCAAATAGTGATGGAATGAATGACAGCTCTCCCTATTCAGCAATACTAAATTGGCCATAATGGTAATATATACAATTTAAAAACGTAATGATTTAAAGAATATGTAAACACACATGCACAAATATATATTATTGTGTGCATACTACACATACACACAAGGAATCATCCTAGCTAACTTTCATCTGTCAGCCTTTAAGTCACTCCAGGTTTACATGTAAGCTGTGAACTGGCTAACCGAAGGAGTATCAAATTCAACCACACAACGACGACAACCATTGCAACATGAAACCTTTGGTTTCTTCTTGTGACCTCTGGTGCCACATGGACCGTGAAAACAGCTTGAATCTTATACTACAGATCATATGGAAGAGGAGTTACTCATGCACACATACACACACACACACACAAATACTCACCTTCAGATAGGTGGGCCGTGTGTGGTGTCTGTGTCTCCTTGCAGTAAGAGACCACCTCTTTGGGAAGGAAGTCTACCTGTGTGATCTTAGAAGCCCCAAGCCTCAACATCCTGCGCCTGGGTAACAGAGACAAGATGTTCCTATTAGCATAGTTACATTGTGCATTAAACCAAAATTGTCCTACATATAATACACTATGTTTCCATCTGAATCAAAGCAATGAATAACATGTAGAGTCTTGTGCCTGTAGCTCAATATTCAGGGTCATTAGAGTAATTGACCCTTTATATGGACTATCAAATTAGACTATTAATAAGTGCCATGCAATGCCAAATAAGATGTATTGCAGTATTTTTTTTTTTTTGTCAGACAGTGAACAAGAGCAGAGAAGGAAGATGTACCCGAGCTCAGAATCAGCTTGCAGCTGCAGCACAGAGGGGTCTGTGTCCCACTGCAGCGTCCTAATGTCACCAACGGGGTGGGGTGGGGGGAGCAAAAGAGGACATGCATGTTTACAAACAAGACACATTAAAACAAAGACACAAACACTGGCCCACATGTATGCGCGCACACACACACACTCACCCACAGACCACTTATCTAGAGAACAGCTTAACACAGGAATTCCCATCGAATATCATGCAGGCACTGTTAATGGAAAAATGTTTAAATAAGTGGATATAGCGTGGGAGAGCTATGCATTAGGGAGACATTATATTTCATTACGCTTCAATGTACTCTGATTATTTAAAGATCTCTGCTCATCTCTTGTAATAGATTTCTTGGTCTTCTGTCAGGAATCTACAAGATGAAAATACCAATACATTTATAGACAAAAAATGTTCCATTGTTGTGTGGAAGATTTGATTGTTTCTCTCATCTGCAGCCTCCAGTTTTAGCAACATGTATGACATTAATGTTGTTTTTTATGTTTGTATGCCATAAGACATTCTGTGTAATGTATCATATGCAAATTTGTGCCAAAGGATATATGAAAACCACAAACAATGTACCAGCAACATGATGATTTCCACCTCACAACATAAATCATCTATGTACATATTCACATAACATTCAGCGTATGAAAATCAAAATAAAATGCGTTTTTAAGGATCAACACACATGACAAGGTAGTTGCCATGCATGATCAACGAGTTTGACACACCACGGGGAAATTGCTAAGCTCATTCAGTGCATTAGAATGGTTCTCCGGCAGTTATAACCTGCTTTATATTGGGGAGGTGGGAATCGCTCGCTTGCAGGGAAATCAAACAGCAAGTGAAACCTAGAGAGTTTTATGGCAACTTGGTTGAAATGTACCCGCTGTGAAAGGATACCGCTTCCAACACCACTACACTTTTTGATGATACCTTTTAGGGCCAGTGAACACGCCCATTAGACCTTCAGCTTGTGCCACACAGAGCCAGGTGAGAGTGGCAAGGCATTTCTTAAGCCTGACAGACCGGCTGTTTTACAGTAACAGCGATGACACTTTAAGCAGCAGATTGTCAACTCTGTGAAGGCTGAAATGACTTGTGTGGCTCAACTCATGCAAGGGGAAATCTTTCGAGCTGGCGTTTAGGGAGACAGTGGGGCTTCAGACAAGCACAGACAGGAAGTCACCCGAGGAGAGCAGAGGAACGAAGCAAAGAGGGGCACTGCGCTGTTTTGATCTTGTAAATCATGATGGGAACACATTGCTAAGACCACTGACAACACTGTGGGTGGCTCTCTGTGTTCACATGAGGGTAAACTCAACTAAAGAAAAGACGGGTGTGGGGTTCCTGGGTTTGACGTGAAAATGCTTACCTTGAGCTCTGTGCTTGGGACTTGTTTTTAGAGAAACCTGACCTAAGAAGGGACACACACATACACAGCCACAAATGGAGAAGCTCAAAATGGCATGCCATCATCCAGGGTGGATTTGGGGGGGAAAACAAATATTTCATTCCAGGCACTAACTCACCAATTTGTAAAATCCAATTTGTAAAAGCTAAAAAGAAACAAAAAGTCTTATACAGTATAAGAGAATTTATTTCTGCTAGGGACTTTATTGAGTTCCCACACATTCTTCATCCCCAATTCCACCCCTGGCCACACCAGAACAACACATCACTAATGACCTCTGAGGGCATCACTCACACACTGACCTCTACAGTCAGATGCCATTAAAAAGCAAATGGAAAGTGCTTGATGACCACTCTCTTCTCAACTGCAAGTTTAATTCACCAGAGCAGCCATGTGTAGAACTTAAAGGTAAATAGTTGCGCTACTGGTCTAGTGTGTTATGGATATGTAAGCATTCTCTCTACTCAAGGGAACAGTGACAGAAGAGGAAATTATATTTTGTCACTTGTGCTCAAATCAGCTACATGCCTTAACAAATCTAAAAATGTAAGGTGAATGCACATTAGGCTCTATGTAGAATATTCCATTAGCTTGCTCACTAAGGCTGCTTTCTGAAGTTTCAACCAAGTAATAGATAATATCTGGCTATTTGCAAATCTCGCTCTCATTTTCAAACTAGCAACTAACAGACCTTATGTCAACATCAAATCAAACTTCTCAGGACTAGTTATGAGAAGCAATAAGCTGTACAGTGGTCATCAAAACACCGGATGCCATGACAAGTGACAGATACAACATTCAGGCACCTCACCATTAGTGCCACTCATCCTTACCTAAACCTGTTGTGCCAATGACGAGAAAGGAGACAGAAAATATGTCAAAAGTATCCAGAAATATCCGCAGCCCAAAGCAACTTCACATTTTTATCATTTTTAGGCCACATGATTCTTTCGAGTTTAAGACTCGGGCACTGCAAACAGTTTATGGGTAACCTCTTAAAAAGCATGCCCGGTAAGAGTGAGCAAAACCTTCTAGTGTGAGATTTCTTTCACATGAGTATCTAATACTTCTTTTAGCTTTAGATTATAATGTGAAAAGAATGTGCAGTATTGTCAGTGAGCTTTGGAGTTTCAAAAAGGATCTTTCTTTACCCAAGCCCAAGAAAAGTTAAAAAACCTTCTGACATTGAACTCGGGTATGAAGTGTGTGGTTTGGACCTACCTGCTTGCTGCTCCTCCATCAGCTGAATCCTGGCTCCCCGTCTCACTGGGCGTGCTCACTGATTTGGAGGGTGACACTGGGGTCGGGACTAAATAATGAAAATAACATGAATCTAACATTAAAGGCTGCAAAGAATGGACTGCTCAAAAAAATTGGGATGAAAAGAAATGAAGTAAAACGAGTGATGGACAAATAAAATAAATGATTAAAAGAAAGGAGAGGGAAGGCAGGGCATCAAACGCATTGTTGGTTTTGTATTTATTATCAATTTGTGCTCAGCTTTATTTCCAGATGCATTATAAATAACTTCGGCTAATAACAGGCATAGCAGTGACCCAGTTTTGAGGTGTTTAGGGTGTTGTTACAACTTCGGACCACTAGAGAACAGTGCTTCCAAAAGCTTGCTGGAAGTGACAGACGCCCTGGGGATTCAACCTACACTAGTCTATCAGATTTGTGCACAAGTAAAGGGAAGACATTTGATTTCTAATCAATTATTTCAATCACATTTCAGAGTAGTAGTAGATATAGTATTCATGTCTGAATATCCTATTACAAGATGTGATACACTCAAGGTACACAGACAACAGAAAAGGATGGTAAAAGGGAGTGGTTATTGAAGTGACACGTCAAAGTAAAAATGTTCAGCACAGTCCAAACACAACATGCAAAAGAAATCATGGAATCAACATGGGATGAAATGTGATGAAAGCTACTATTAAAAAAAATTAAAACATAAGTACTATAATATTAAGAGACATGGCAACACAGATATTAACCTACTTTAGTTATCTGATCACTTTATTATCAGTTAGGCAGAAATTGGACTGAAATGTTTCAGCAAATTACAATTACATTAAGTGTGTAGTGTGTGGGTGCCTGGTTAGATCAGTCGGTAGAGCTGGCGACTCATGTGTTGCTGCAGCGGCCCGGGTTCTAATCCGACCTGCGGCCCTTTGCTGCGTGTCATCCCCTCTCTCTCTACCCACCTTTCCTGTTGATCTTCAGCTGTCTCTGTCTAATAAAGGCATGAAAAAGGCCCAAAAAAATAAAAAAAAATTTGGTGAGCCAATTTTAAACACCTCCAGGATTTAAAGTTGTGCTCCTCATACATACTCATTGAATGGTGTGACCGTGGTATGCCTTCAAAAATCTACCTTGACATGACAATGGAAACTCTAACCCTGGCCTAAACGCATCAAACTGCCAATATTCAGTCGCTGTCATAGCGTCAACTACTGGCAACAGGAAGTGAGCCTTGTGTGGCGATTGTGATGTGATTTCTGTGAAATTTGTAGCTTGGTGTTGTCATGATGTACTGGTGCGTGACCCGATGGCAGCACACCCCGACATGCACCGAGTGCGAGGGCCCGACCATCACTGCTTGCGGTTTTAATTTAAATTTTTACTGTGAAACAAAACATCTAGTAAAAAGTACTAAGGGAAGGGATGTTTCTGTAACTTACAAAACTAAGTTAGTTACTTAGTTATTGATTGAATGCGTTTCATTATTTTTTTTAAATAACTTGCATTACAGTGTAATTTCCATCCATGCTGGTAAAGGAAAATCGGTATTGCTTCCATGTTGGTTTCATGGTTTTGGTGTTTTGTTGTTACAGCATGATCAATACACATTTCTCCCAAAAACACATTTAAAAGTGAGACAAAAACTTCATTAATGCAAGACAATTTTCAAGACCTGTCAAAATTATATTTAAGACATTTTAAAGCTAAGACTATTAGATTTTTAGACTTTTTAAGAACCCACGGAGACCTGTACAATTCATAGTATAAGTCTGGTGCACTTTTTATTATAAAAAAATCCCTGATATTTCCTTCTTCCTCTGTACCATAGAGCTCCATTGTTGTCCAAAAACCATTAAAAACACATCAGTG